GCAGAAAGTTCCACCGAGTCGTGTCTCGACATACCCAAGATGCTACTTTACATATTCTTTCATTAGTATCTGCTATGGCGTGCAGAGTTCTGTCCGGAGCTGCTTGAGGAGTCATGACCGCGACGTCACGGGTATCTGGGTCCCAGCCACAACTCCCGTGCTGGCTATGAAGTCTTAGTCACAAAAACTAATGATGTTTTGCCGGCTTTTCCCCCACACCTGACTGTTGGGTAATTCCTGTGAGTGTGGGTGTGTGTGTGTTTGCGTGGGTGTGTGTACTCACCTATTTATGCTTGCGGGGATTGAGTTTTGGCTCTTTGGTCCCGCCTCTCAACTGTCAATCAACTGGTGTACAGGTTCCTGAGTCTACTGGGCTCTATCATATCTACACTTGAAACTGTGTATGGAGTCAGCCTCCACCACATCACTGCCTAATGCATTCCATCCGTTAACTACTCTGACACTGAAAAAGTTCTTTCTAACGTCTCTGTGGCTCATGTGGGTAATCAGTTTCCACCTGTGTCCCCTTGTTCGCGTCCCACCAGTGTTGAATGTTTGAGTTTGCTTGCGTGGGTGTGTGTGTGTGTGTTTGCGTGTGCTTGCGTGGGTGTGTGTGTTTGCGTGTGTGCGTGGAAGGTGGGAAAACAATCAACGCGCATCAGAATTTAATTAGAAGGAGATTGAAAGGAATTCTTCCACAATCTCCATCGTATTGACAAACAGATCGTCGCCATGACTTCCACTTGTACACAGGGATCGTCAATCATCTTGTCTGTCAAGCTTGACTACGGACCTCACTGCAATTTCGTCAATATCATTGATTAACAACGACTACGATGTTGTATTGTGATGTTAAAACATTAACAGTACTGTGCAACAGTCATTACCTACTCAGCTAGCCCAAAAGCTTCCACACACACACAGCCTGTGGCAGCCCATCTTCAACACGAGTCACTACACCATGACTTTGCTCTCATGGGTGGAGTCATCAATGCTCGACTTACATCTCAAACATCTTGTCCGCTGACTCTTCTGACCCCCTCTGGGGTCCTATCCCCACCTGACCCCTCTGGGGTCCTACTACCACCTCACTTTCTCTTCTGACCCCCCTGGGGTCATACCCCCACCTCACTTTCTCTCCTGACCTCTGGGGTCCTACCCCACCTCACTTTCTCCCCTGACCCCCCTGGGGTCCGACCCCACCTCACTTTCTCTCCTGACCCCCTGGGGTCCTACCCCCACCTCACTTTCTCCCGTGACCCCCTTGGGGTCCGACCCTACCTCACTTTCTTTCCTGACCCCCCTGGGGTCCTACTACCACCTCACTTTCCCTCCTGACCCCCTGGGGTCCTACCCCTACCTCACTTTCTCTCCTAACCCTCCTGGGGTCATACCCCCACCTCACTTTCTCCCCTGACCCCTGGGGGTCATATCCCCACCTCACTTTCTCCCCTGACCCCTGGGAACAAGAATTAAGCTTGTTAATTGACTAATTAATACTAATTAATATTAATTTCGAGGTACCCTCTAGGCTAACAAGTCCCCAGGGTGCAACCCTCATAACAGCTACTTAATTCCCAAGTACCTATTTATTGCTAGGTGAACGGAAGGATCAGGTAAATTGTTACGACCAAACGCGGGAATTGAACCCGGGACCTTTCAGTTGTGACCCCCCTCTTTCGTGTACTTCCTAATCTTGAATTCGTTCACGAAAGCCATTTTATGACAATCAAAAGAAGGGAACATTGTGTATATTTAGCGACCTGTAGAGGCGACCAAAGGACACGAGAGCCGGAGCCGGTCGGCCGAGCGGACAGCACGCTGGACTTGTGAACCTGTGGTCCTGGGTTCGATCCCAGGCGCCGGCGAGAAACAATGGGGCAGAGTTTCTTTCACCCTATGTCCCTGTTACCTAGCAGTAAAATAGGTACCTGGGTGTTAGTCAGCTGTCACGGGCTGCTTCCTAGGGGTGGAGGCCTGGTCGAGGACCGGGCCGCGGGGACACTAAAAGCCCCGAAATCATCTCAAGATAACCTCAAGATAACACGTTCCTGCGCCTGCTTGCGGCCAAACGACACGTTTCTGCGCCTGCTTGCGGCCAAACGACACGTTTCTGCGCCTGCTTGCGACCAAACGACACGTTTCTGCGCCTGCTTGCGACCAAACGACACGTTTCTGCGCCTGCTTGCGACCAAACGACACGTTTCTGCTCCTGCTTGCGACCAAACGACACGTTTCTGCGCCTGCTTGCGACCAAACGACACGTTTCTGCGCCTGCTTGCGAGCAGAGAACACGTTTCTGCGCCTGCTTGCGAGCAGAGAACACGTTTCTGCGCCTGCTTGCGAGCAGAGAACACGTTTCTGCGCCTGCTTGCAAGCAGAGAACACGTTTCTGCGCCTGCTTGCGAGCAGAGAACACGTTTCTGCGCCTGCTTGCGAGCAGAGAACACGTTTCTGCGCCGCTTGCAAGCTGCAGTGCAATTGATCATCAAGACTGATTGATTCGTCTACTTGCCGGCACTTTAGTGATATATTGCGACGTTTTGTTGATAGACTCAGATTCAAGAAGCTTAAAGCGATCATCAATTCAGACTTGTCGTACTGGACTTGTCGTAGCGGCCTTATCTTCGCGCGCGAACTTGTGCTTGATCCTCAACGGACTGCACCCGCGAGTCGACAGACACTCGACATCAACTCCATCTGTCTGTGCCATAAGTGAGGAGGAATGCAGTTGTCCCTGAATCGCGACGCCGGCGACTGTGGCCTCCGCCCGCCAGGGGGGCATAAATCAGTATCGTCGAGCGTTTGTCCGTAGAGTCCAAAGCTGGCGAATGCAGCGTAGGACGACCGCTCTTGTTGGAGACTGCGTGTAAAGTCCTGTTTTCCTACCGGCGCTTCCTGATAACGCTGTTACGAGACCTGCGGAAGCGCTTAGGCTCGCCGCGGCGGCTAAGAAGCGGGCAATCCGACATCATTCACAGCAGTTGGAACGTCATTATTATTGTCTATTAATGTATTCGAGCAAATTACAGGGCTCTAATTACCCGTCAAGGTGGTCAGATCTTCACTCGCACGATATAAATAACGCGAGTTAAAGGTACGTTACTTATGGACTTAAGTCCATAAGTAACTTAATAAGACTTAAGTCCATGACGTTTAGCAATTGCTAAACGTCAGGTTGTGGCCATATATAAACAGAGAGCCATCATCTTGCCTACCAGTAAAAACCTGGGCACTACTGCCCCCCTGGGGAGGGCCAGGGTCCAGCCCCCCAGCCACGCCCTCTTCTGGGGGAGAGGGGAGAAGTGGGGGAGGGGGATTTGAGTAGTGTGAAGGGGGTTGGGGGTGGGGTTTATTAGTGTTTAAGGGGGCGGGCTGATATTGGTTTGGGAAGGGGGGGGTTATGAGCAGGAAAAGGGAAGGGGGGCTAGATGGAGTTAAAGAGAGGTAGAAGGGGGCTAGATGTAGATAAAGAGAGGGAGAGGGGGGCTAGATGTAGTTAAAGAGAGGTAGAAGGGGGCTAGATGTAGTTAAAGAGAGGTAGAAGAGGGCTAGATGTAGTTAAAGAGAGGTAGAAGGGGGCTAGATGTAGTTAAAGAGAGGTAGAAGGGGGCTAGATGTAGATAAAGAGAGGTTGAAGGGGACTAGATGTAGATAAAGAGAGGGAGAGGGGGGCTACAAACTTACACATGTTTCCCAAACACGACACCTCTGTTATTGGTGACTCTTATCATCATGAATTATTACCTGTGTAAGGCATGATAACATTATGTTTGTGTCTCTTCCCAGTCTGACTCCAGCAGAATGATGGAGTCAGATGTTTAAGGATAGGATGGGCATTAACTTTGGTTGATATTGGGTACGTGGCCTTGGGTACGTGGCTTTGGGTACGTGGCTTTGGGTACGTGGCTTTGGGTACGTGGCTTTTGGTAAGTGGGCTTGGGTACGTGGCTTTGGGTACGTGGGCTTTGGGTATGTGGCTTTGGGTAAGTGACTTTAGGTAAGTGGGCTTGGGTACGTGGCTTTGGGTACGTGGCCTTGGGTACGTGGCCTTGGGTACGTGGCTTTGGGTACGTGGGCTTGGGTACGTGGCTTTGGGTACGTGGCTTTGGGTACGTGGCTTTGGGTACGTGGGCTTTGGGCACGTGGCTTTCCGTACGGGGCTTAGACACTTGCCAAAAGTGAAAGACCATATAGAGCTGAAAACAGATTACTATTTTGAACAGAAGGGGAGAAGTGGTTATACTAGATGAAGAGAGTTTAATGAATAATATATAAATTTAAACGTGTTCAGAGCCTTCAGTGAGAATCCTTATCTACGTATTTAATAAGAACTTCAAATTGTAGAAATATACGATTAAATGAATCTTAGTGATTAAGAGTTTTGCTTATTCAGCGAGTTTGAAATTAGTGATATATTTACCATTTAGTGATTAGTGATATATTATTAGTGATATATTTATATTTACCTACAAAACTGGGGGACATGGGGCATCACCACAACCACCCTATGTACTGCCCAGTACCCAGACCATTGACCCTGCAAAGTTTCGGGAGGGTAGCCCTTAGCGTCTGGCCTTCTAATTTGAATAGACAGACAAATATACTCTCTTATATATAGATATAATATATCTATACACCTTGGGTCATCACACACAGAGATCACACTAACGTGATGCATCAAATGAACAAATCCACAAGGGCCGTGACGAGGATTCGAACCTGCGTCCGGTTTCAACCCTTTTAACCCTGTCGTAGCTCAGTCGATTAAGGCAGTGTCTGGGATGCTCCCGGACGCAGGTTCGAATCCTCGTCACGGCCCTTGTGGATTTGTTTATACTCCTTGGATATATTTCCTGTTCAGACAAAGAAGCGTCGTTCATGTTGACGGATATATGATTGTTTACATAAACAAACGCACGTGGCGGTACATAGTGACGCAATTTGCGCGCGCAAAATGATAAAAACATTATACGGGAAGTAGCGTAGATTTGACTCACCTTGACCGACCAGGTGCAGGTGTTCTGGGAGCCGTTAGCCACACCCTGGAGTGTGTAGCCTGGGGATACCAGCCACACCTGTTGCTCTGGCACAACCACCACCTCCTCGCGACCACATCCTGTCAAATAATAATGCATAATGTCTTAGTTCATAATTTAGTGCAGAGGTTTGATTACATTTTCGTTCGCCTCAACCTGCTCTGTCTCTGTCTCTGTCTCTGTCTCTGTCTCTCTCTCTCTCTCTGTCTCTCTGTCTCTCTCTCTCTCTCTGTCTCTCTCTCTCTCTCTCTCTCTCTCTCTCTCTCTCTCTCTCTCTCTCTCTTATCTCTCTCTCTCTCTCTCTCTCTCTCTCTCTCTCTCTCTCTCTCTCTCTCTCTCTCTCTCTCTCTCTCTCTCTCTCTCTCTCTCTCTCTCTCTCTCTCTCTCTCTCTCTCTCTCTCTCTCTCTCTCTCTCTCTCTCTCTCTCTCTCTCTCTCTCTCTCTCTCTCTCTCTCTCTCTCTCTCTCTCTCTCTCTCTCTCTCTCTCTCTCTCTCTCTCTCTCTCTCTCTCTCTCTCTCTCTCTCTCTCTCTCTCTCTCTCTCTCTCTCTCTCTCTCTCTCTCTCTCTCTCTCTCTCTCTCTCTCTCTCTCTCTCTCTCTCTCTCTCTCTCTCTCTCTCTCTCTCTCTCTCTCTCTCTCTCTCTCTGTCTCTGTCTCTCTCTCTCTCTCTGTCTCTCTCTCTCTCTGTCTCTCTCTCTCTCTCTCTCTCTCTCTCTCTCTCTCTCTCTCTCTCTCTCTCTCTCTCTCTCTCTCTCTCTCTCTCTCTCTCTCTCTCTCTCTCTCTCTCTCTCTCTCTCTCTCTCTCTCTCTCTCTCTCTCTCTCTCTCTCTCTCTCTCTCTCTCTCTCTCTCTCTCTCTCTCTCTAGACGAGGCTGGAAGAGAAGGGAGGACCAGCAGCAGGACACAAAACCAGAATCCGAACGTAACTGGGCTCGAGGAACCTAATTGACCAGGAGACATAAGCAGCAGTCCCTCAAGACTATAGAACATATATTAAAGAAAGTAATGGAGAGAGAGAGAGTGATGGAACAGCTTATCACGAAGGATTGAGCATTCAAGAAGCTGTCATTTAAAAGACTATGAATTACTCTCCGCAAATATGTCAGCCCGCCAAACACACACCGAAACTACGACGTTGGTACAACGTTCGAACAAGTTTTAACACCTCCTAACCAGTTATAACAACCAATATAACAAGTTGTAACAACGTTCTAATACGTCATAAACACGTTAAGCCAAGATGTAACAACTTTATTACAAGTTGTAACAAGCGGAACATAGAGACAGTTTCGGTTTGTGTTTCCTGGGAGCAACCATAGCAATGAGAAGATCTAATATAATAGTATTAGTGATATGCAAACCGATTGAAATTGAAATAAGTTTATTGAGGTAAAATACACACAAAGGGATGAGGAGGTAGCTCAAGCTATTCTCACCCCGTTCAGTACATCGTGTTAATACATGCATATAAACACATCACAAACAATAAACATATTACCAAACATTCTGAGAGATAAAACCGATAGAAGCCTTTGGCAGGAATATAACAGAAATAATAGATCAACTTTAATGCCACGGAAAAAAAAATGGATCAATTGCAAACAGAAGCTGGTTTGAATTCTAAATCATGGGGGGACTTCAACCATGGAAAAATAGTATGGGAAGAACAGCGAAGTCAAGTTATCTTCTCTTGAGGTTATCTTGAGATGATTTCGGGGCTTTTTAGTGTCCCCGCGGCCCGGTCCTCGACCAAGCCTCCACCCCCAGGAAGCAGCCCGTGACACCTGACTAACACCCAGGTACCTATTTTACTGCTAGGTAACAGGGGCATAAGGTTAAAGAAACTCTGCCCATTGTTTCTTGCCGGCGCCTGGGATCGAACCCAGGACCACAGGATCACAAGTCCAGCGTGCTGTCCGCTCGGCCGACCGGCTCCAAGTCTCCCAGGGTACACAGATGTATGAGTAACAAAAATCATGAAAGATGCAGTCAGAAACTTTTCAATCCAACACGTCGATGGAGCCACGAATATTAGTGATGGTAATCGCAGACTCGAGTGAACTGAAACTCAATCTTTCAGAGTTTAAATTCAGAGTATCAGAGTTATCCCCTCAAGGAGGGCCTGACGGCTGAATGGACAGCGCTCGGGGTTTGTAGTCTTAAGGTTCCGGGTTCGATCCCCGGCGGAGGCGGAAATAAATGGGCAGAGTTTCTTTCACCCTATGCCCCTGTTACCTAGCAGTAAAATAGGTACCTGGGTATTAGTCAGCTGTCACGGGCTGCTGCCTGGGGGTGGAGGCCTGGTCGAGGACCGGGACGCGGGGACACTAAAAAGCCCCGAAATCATCTCAAGATAACGTCAAGATAGTCGAGGACCGGGCCGCGGAGACGCTAGAGCCCCGAAATTGTCTCAAGATAACCTCAAAATAGTCGAGGACCGGGTCGCGGGGACACTAAAGCCCCGAAATCATCTCAAGAAGATAACCTCAGTACCTCAGTAGACCGAAACTCAGTCTACTTTTCCCCAAAAATCATAGACCGAATATCTCTGAGGGAGTAGGGGGGGATATGATGGGTACCTGAATTATCAAATCAGCAGGCATGTACTATGCATGACCCCGGGGGTCAGGAGCTGGGGGTAAGTGCATACCTTAGTTCAGCACCTGCTTGGCATCTCTATACCCCTGTGTCAGATGCAGGGGGTATGACTCCCCCGGGGTATGAAGGATCCTACTCATGGCACCCTTCCTCAGTGGCATCACCATGTAGCTATCACCCTCGTCCCCTCATACTCAGGTGAACTACAGGGTAATACTAGCGAGCTCCCATGATGGCTGTATGGTGACCTCTGGCCAGAGGTGGAAGCATGGGCGTGTCTCAGTTGGCTTCATAAGGCGTTTGGGTAGGGCGGCGGTAGTGGGGGGGGGGTGACCCTACGCACGCACCAGGCACGGGTAGCCCACACACATACGCCCACACGCACGCAAACACACGCAAACACACATCATACATGAAAAGTGAAAGAGACAGACTGCATATTCCTACATTTTAACAAGTCCGACACAGTTCCACTTGAGACAAAGAGCAACGCAGACTGAGGTGACAATGTTAGCCACAGTCGACAGTGATGGAGATGATTGGCCAATTTACGATAGAGGTGACATCAGAGTGAGGTCTTTAAACAAGAGGGGGTCCGACAAGGGGCCATTCTGACCTATCAGCAGGGCTTAGATGACAAGACACAAATCATTGAGAAATAATGATGTAGGATGACTGTTCCAAACTACAGTAAGAGAGAGAGAGAGAGAGAGAGAGAGAGAGAGAGAGAGAGAGAGAGAGAGAGAGAGAGAGAGAGAGAGAGAGAGAGTGAGTGTAGTTCCTTAAGTAGCTCCTTAACCTAAACTTAGGCAAATATTGAACGCGTGTCGTTTCATTACAGTAGATCTCTTATATATATTGGAACCATTTAATAAAATACGTCAGATTCTGTTGATTTCAAGACGTACTTTTGTCCCAGCGAGATGGTACCATACATGATGATTCCGTTCCCGATTAATCCCATCCAGATTAAAAAATTTAATCCAAATCATATAAGATGGATTTTAGGCCGTAGATCAGGGATTTTTCTGAGGGTTTCAACTGATATTTCGAACAATAATCAATCATCTTATTGCAGTTATTCAATTAGCGAAATAAATAAGAACGTAGCCAAGACTACACAGAAGTTAGACTTTAAATTCTGACCCAGAAAACCAGGGTTAGAATTTGATCAAGCATTTAAGGAACCACTAACGAAACCTATAATCTTTCCTTAAACACGACGGCTTTGTTTACACTTATTAGAAGAGTTTATGATCTCCGAACCACTATGAACCACCAGGGGAGCCGGTCGGCCGAGCGGACAGCACGCGGGACTTGTGATCCTGTGGTCCTGGGTTCGATCCCAGGCGCCGGCGAGAAACAATGGGCCGAGTTTCTTTCACCCTATGCCCCTGTTACCTAGCAGTAAAATAGGTACCTGGGTGTTAGTCAGCTGTCACGGGCTGCTTCCTGGGGGTGGAGGCCTGGTCGAGGACCGGGCCGCGGGGACACTAAAGCCCCGAAATCATCTCAAGATAACCTCAAGATATGAGGTTGTTTACAACAATAAATCAACTTTTGGTGCGAAGTTTCGAAGCTCGTAAACTGTTTACCAAATGTAACCAAAGCCTTCATGACTAAGATGTACTGGTTGCGTAAAATGGTTGATGAATCCCGCCTGAAGGTCAAGACAGAAGTATCCCGCCAAACACACACCGAAACTACGACGTTGGTACAACGTTGGAACAAGTTTTAACACCTCCTAACCAGTTATAACAACCAGTATAGCAAGTTGTAACAACGTTCTAATACGTCATAAACACGTTAAGCCAAGATTTAACAACTTTATTACAAGTTGTAACAAGCGGAAAATAGAGACAGTTTCGGTTTGTGTTTCCAGGGATAAGACTAGCCTGAGTGGGGCTAAGGGGCCTGACAGCTGAGTGGACAGCGTTTGGGATTCGTAGTCCCAAGGTGTCGGGTCTGATCCTCGGTGGAGGCGGAAACAAATTAGGCCAGAGTTTCTTTCACCCTGTTGTCTTTGTTTACCTAGCAGTAAATAGATACCTGGGCGTTAGCCAGCTGCTACGGGCTGCTGCTTCCTGGGGGTGTGTAACAAAAAGGAGGCCTGGTCGAGGACCGGGCCGCGGGGACGCTATGCCCCGAAATCACCTCAAGGTAGGAAGGAAGGAATTATCAAGGGAAAGCGCCAAGCCATTACGGCTATATAGCACTGAGAAAGGGGTCAGGATAAGGATTTGGTGATGGGACGGGGGAATGGAATGGTGCCCAACCACTTGTGGACGGTCGGGGATTGAACGCCGATCTGCATGAAGCGAGACCGTCGCTCTACCGTCCAGCCCAAGTGGTTGGGTCACCTCAAGGTGGTTAACCTAGCTTACGATTATATTCAGTGGAGGATCAGCCTCACAGCACAAGACGCCTGAACTACCAGTGAGTAATCTTTACCCACTGGGACATTAACCCTGTCCCAGTGGAT